TCTTTTGGCAGAAGCATTCAACAGAACAAAATATGTGGTGCATTTAGGATGTGGGTCCTCTTGTGCATGCTGCCACTGTTAAGGTAGGTCATCAGACTCACAGTGACTTACAGCAATCCATTGTATAGGTAATAGTCTTCTTTGGCCTGTCCAAGGAAACCCAAACCTGCAGATGGCGGTCATGCATCCCATCCCCCACCTCCTACACAGGCGGCCAGTGGGGCGTGTGCCCCCCCAGTGCGGGCGGCCAGTGGGGGGGGGTGCGCAGCCCCCCTCAGCACAGGCGGCCTTTGGGGGCGCGCCCCCCACCCTGCCGCACGGGCGCTTGGTGGCTGCGTAGCCCCTCTTGTGCCGGTGGCCGGTGGGCACCTGCTTTCCCCACTGCCACCATCCTGGCTTCAAGAATTCTCTCCAGAACAAGTCCACCTTGTGGCAGTGTGGTGGATTCACTGTACCAGTCTTGAGGAGGACCGGTGCCCAGCATCCATCCTGGGTGAGGAAATCCATTGATTCTGGCTGTGGAAGCCTCATGGAGCTGCAGCAGCTGTGCGGCACGGCGTGGGCTCTGCGGGAGGGGGTTGGAAGCCATGAGACTCACCCATTCCTCATTGGGAATCCTTGAATTCCTGTTGTTGAGCCTCATCTTCACTGAGGGCCAGCCATCAACTGTTTAAGTGTTCAATTATCAATAAGCTGAAGTCTGTAGGAGGCCATAATGACTCTGCTTTAAGTGGTTTGCTGCTCCTGCAGCTCACCATGCTGTCTCTGCCTCTGCTGCCATCTTGGATCTCCTAAGTCTTCCTTTCTTAATTATAGACCTCTAATTTTATTCAATGTGGCAGAGTTTTCAGCTAAGTTCTTGCAAATAAAGCTCAACACATTGAAAATGAAATTAAATATTATGAATATTATATAGAGATGAAAAACCAGTTTATTCCAGTGTTTACCAAAGTTGAGAGATCCCTCTTTCAGCATAGCACTTTTCTTGTGAAATTAGTATGAAGGTCATATTTTGAAATACTCTTAACTTTCTATTTATTGTTTTAAAATGACAAAATCCCCTCTTCGTATATGTTAAAGAGAACCATGTTCCCACTATGTCTTCAGTATACCACAGATAAATCCTGAAATACATATCTGTGTGTAAAGGCAATGGAAATAAATTATGCCAGTCTGAAGCTAATGAAAATGTAACAAGGTATAGAAAAATCAGTATCTGTCACAACAGAGAAATGGGAGGAGAGGAGTGCTGAGAATATTGTTTTTATTAAGTGCCCAGAGTTGGCTATGACTCATAGTGACCATATGGACTCTAGAACTCTGCCTTATCCTCTACCATCCTTATTATCCTTGCCATACTTGAGCCAGTTCCAGCAGTCACTCTGTCACTTCATCTGTGAGGGAGACCCTCAACCATTCAAGATTCACCTTGACTCTTTACTTTTCCAAACTTGATGCTTCTTTTCAAGGAGTAGCTTCACCTAAAAACATACTCAATGTATGTGAGACAAAGCTTTATCATCTTTGCCTCCATGGAGCACTCTGGCTCCACTTTATCCAAGACATACCAATTTGTTCTTTTGGCTGTTCAACATTCTTCTCCAACCCTTTAATTCAAATGTATCAGTTGTTCTCCATCATCCTTGGGGTGGCAAGGCGGTGGCGTTCTGCGTGCGACCTTCAGCGCTCTTGGCCGACTGGCTTGGCGTGCTAGCCCAGGTTCCCCCCCCCATCATCCTTATTCATTGTCCAGGTCTCAGGTGCATAACAGGTGGTTGGAAAGACTGTGGCTTGAGTCAGACACACCTTAGTCTTTAAATGGACTCATTGCTCTTAAGGATTTTGGTGAGGTCCCTAACAATAGAGTTTCTCAATACTGTATGTCTCCTGATTTCCTGATTGCTGGCACTGAGGGTATTGACTGTAGATCCAAGTAAAATTAATAGTTGACAATTTCAACCTCTTCTCCATCTTGTCATAATGCGTATTAGTTCAGGGTGAGGATTTCTGTTTTCTTGCTGTTAGGATGTAATTAATATTGAAAATGGAAGTGCTTGATCCTCTGAAGCAAGTGCTTCAAGTTCTTCTCACTTTCAATGAGCAAGATTGTATCATTTGCATAGTGCCAGTTTTTCATGAGCCTTCCTCCAATCCTGGTGCTACACTCTTCTTCATAAAGTCCAGATTGACTAATGATTAGCTTAGCATACAGATTGGATAGGTACAGAGAGGATACAGCCCTGATGCACACCTTTCTTAAAATTTCTTAAGAATAATTTTTTATTTGAGAAATTTATTGACTCCACCAGGAAAATACTGTGGTTGTGGTTGTTACTGGTGTTTTTTTATGTTATTGTTTTTTTTTAATTTATTATTAATTTCAATGAAAATTTACAGAGACTTGGGATTGCCATGCATTCATTGTTGCACTTTTCGCCCCTCCCAACCCTCCCCCCCAGTACACTACCCTCTTGGAAAAGTAAAATTCTTTCCTTGTTTTACAATCCCTCCCCTCAGGTCCACTTCACTATGCAACCTTCACGCTGGACTAATACCTAATCACATACCCCTTTTAAACAGTTTTCTCCCTCACCTGTTTCAATGCAGTATACATTATTGAACCCATCTTTCTCAGTCTCCCCTCAACCCTGATGTCAGTCCTGTTTTACAACAGTGGTACCATGCAGTATTTGCCCTTTTTTGACTCAGATACTTCACTCAGCATAATGTCTTCCAGCGTCACCCATTTTGAATAATATTGCATGAGTTCCTTGTTTTTCAACGCAGCATAGTATTCCATTGTGTGACCATACCACAGCTTCTCTATCCATTCATTTGTTGATGGGCACTTAGGTTGTTTCCAACTTCTTGCTATTGTGAACAAAGCCACCATAAACATGGGTGTGCATGTATCTGCTTGGGTGGCGGTTATGGTCTCTTCGGGGTATATTCCCAGTAGTGGAATTGCTGGGTCAAATGTATCTCTATTTGCAACTTTTTGAGAAAGCTCCATACCACCTTCCACAGTGTTTGCATCATTTTACACTTCCACAGTGAATAAGGGTTCCAGTTTAT